TTATTATTTGCAGCTGAAATTCTTAATAAAATAATCAATATTGGTATCGATAATATAATTTTAATTGCAAAACGATTTCATAATAAATTATTATTGGCAGAAAAATATATTCCATCAAATAAAATACAATGTCAAACAATATTATTTCGTGTAACAACAAGTAGTGAATATAGTGAAACAATTGGAAATGATTATGGACTATCGACAGTAAGAAAATTGAATTAAATTTTTTTCCTGATGAATAAAAAATTGAATCATTATAGATATGTCAAGGTCCACTTCAAGTCCTAGTCATTCCAGGTGATCACCGAACATTTTTGCAAGGTGAAAATGTAAAACTTTTAGCTGATCAGATTATAACTGTTACTTGTAACAATTCTTGACAAATGTGCAATGATTTACTTTTAATGATTTACAATGAACAGAATTATATGATATATGTTCTTGTTGTTCTATATGCATTTTTCGATTTTTCTCATTGTGATGTGTAATCTCTTATTGTATTTTAAACGTCTTAAAAAATATTTTAAAGCGGAAAAAAAATATGAAAAACAAAAATAATATTTCTTAATTCATATCTAATAGGTCGAAAGTGTCTGTTGCTTTTTGAATGAAAGAAAGAAAAGTTTTTGAGGATTTTTTAAAAAGTACTTTCATAGTTTCGAAAAATGTTCAAATGGAAATAATGAAGAATCTGGAATTTGGTAACGTGAGGCATTTCAGAGAGAAGAAAAGGGCGATCATGGTCAAAAAAAAAGGAAACATTTTGAAGTCCACTAAAGGTAATTTTAGCTTTTTCCTATTAGAAAAAAATGTTTGCAAGGGAGAGAAGGAGCATTCTTCTTTAACTCCATCCTCTTGAATCTGTCATCGAATAGAAAAGAAAAAAGTAATAGTGCGAATTGTTCTAATAAGATATTAGCTAAGAATGCTTCTGAACATGATATTTGTGTGTGGAAATTTTTAAAATTCTAGTAACTATTTTCATACCACTGTGGAAACAGTTGAAATCTTTAGTAAATATTTTCGATAATAGTAACAACTGTAATGTCATAAAAATTTTGCAACAATTGGAGGATGACGAGCGACAGCTAAACCGATTTGCTTACGCGTTTATTGTTCAATTGAAATTTGTTTTTTTTTTCATTGTTCTTGAACTTTGCGTGAGTGATTCCTCTGTAGTTGAACACGCTAAAAACTGTCAGTTTTTCAACGGTATATGTTTTGACTATGTGAAGTTGACAATCATTCAATGAAATAAGACGACAACTTGTTCATATATATTGACTTATATTGATTTATAAAAGTGATAATGATGTTGATATAAATCCAAGAATTAATATATTCAAATCAGAAGTAAACATTGTTGCTGTAGTATTCAATGTTCGAAATGAAATAATAACGATAATATCACAAACGGATGAACTTATTGATGATAGTCTAACGGACAATAAAGATCAAATAGGAGTGACTTATGGTGAACGTGTATAGACTATAAATTCATTTGATTCCAATAAATTACACCAAACTACTATGATATTCATTGATTCATGACAATAATCATAAGATAATATAAATTTTTAATATTAAATAGTCTATAGTACTAGTCAAAAATCTGATTTTAGTTCGATTTCTTTTATACAGTCAAAGGAATTTCGGTCTATGCATATGCAAATTGTATGAAATTTTCAAAATACGTTGGAGCTGTAGTGGACAGGCAATGGAAAAGTTTTCAGCCCGACATTGTAATGTTCGAGGAAGATATCCACAAAATTATGGTCAAGAGTAGATGAATTGGCAACTCAAAATTCTCTGTGGGTCTTCATTCTATATATTTAGTTTTTTTTTTTGTTTGAAAAAGCATCTCAGAATCTAGCGTATGGCAGAGTTCTGTTTTTATATTCTTACTTTTTGAGCGGAGAAAATGGCTCACAAGTTCAATAACTCAAAACCTCCAATAAAACTTTGAGAAAATGATAGTTTTTTGAGTTAGTGAATTTGTGAATTCTTTTCTCCGCTTTGAAAGTAAGAATATAAAAAAAAGGACTCTGTCATGCACTAGATTCTGAACTGCTCTTTCAAACAAAAAAAAATTTAGATATATAAAATGAAGACCCATAAAGAGTTTTGAGTTGCCAATTCATCTACTCTTGACCATTATTTTGTAAATATCTTCTTCAAACATCACGATATCCGACTGAAAACTTTACCATAGCCTCTTCACTACAGCTTCAACGTATTCTAAAAATTTCATGTACACTTGCATATGCATAGACCAAAATCACTTTGAAGGATGGTGGTGTCCCAATACTTTTTGGTTTGACTGAACGTCCGCGCTGTATATTATTCGACTTCATAATAGTTTTCCAGATGGTGCAGAAATTTTTTAATCTACTTACAGATTACTTATTTTTATTCAATTCTAATATCTATCGACCATAAAAATGTTGTTCCACTTCATTCAACAGAATGTTTTATTGAATGTGATACATTAGGTGCACTACTTGATAAACGTTTCAATGAAAGGCTTTTAGTTGCACAAAGAAAATATTATTTGAATATTTCATTAGTATAATTTAAACAATATATACGTGAATATCAACAACGGACTAAACTAACACATGATAGTGTTCGTCGAATAGATTTCAACAAAGTTTATCTAGCGATATTTTAACTAACTCAAAAAGAGTTAATTGAGGTTTAATATTAACAAAAACAGAAACGAAATTTAATTAAAAAAAAAAGAGTAAAACGCAGTTCTATCTCAACAAAATATTTCCATGAAACATTAGAAATTGATCTAACTAAAAATGGTAGACTTATTTGCTAAACATCATAAGAAAATATCTAATGATGTTTATGAGATACTTTTTCCATTCAATATGAAAACAACTTGCAAACAGAGCAAAACTGACAGTAAGAACAATGGTCATTTCCGTTGGAACATAAACAACAATTGTAATATATATTGTTTATCACTATATTTCTCCTTTTTAGACTGCATCATCGTAAACGATTATCGGAACGGAAGCTGTTTTTGAGCCATTTATGGCCTTTTTCGATTTGTTCTATTCAATCTGGAATCATCGATATATAGTGACATCTTTCAAATACTATTTTTCATTAATCCCTAAGAATAAACAAATCCTATACAAGCAAACAAAATACCCAATTAAAGCAATAAATTTCTTTCAATGTCAAAATATGACAATCATTAGCATAGAATAATATAATAAAACTAGTTACTTATTTTTCCTAATTCAAAAATGGATAATAATAATACAATGACATCAACAACAGATATAGATTTATTTGTTGATAATCAACCGATGAATGATGAAGAATTAACAAAATTACATGAATCAACATTACAAATGTTTCGTTCAAATAAAATTGGACCAAAAAATGCATTTGATATTGTACTTATTGATTATTTACCTGCTATATTTGAAACAACAAGTTTTGATGATGATCATATAAATAATTTTCAATCAGTTGGTACAACACTTGAAACATCAGGTTAAATTTAATAATAAAAAAAAATTTCTATTTTCATTGAATTTCTTTTTTATTTTTTAGCAAAAATTTATGCTGCACGTATTGATTCACTTTATTCAGAAACTCGTAAAACTCAATCAATACTTCGTTCAACAAATGAAAATATTCATCGAATACTTGATGAGGAAGATGATATTGAAGGTGATAATAATGAAGATAATTTTACTGAAAGACGAATATCTAATAATAAAAAAATTCGTTTATTAATGAAACGAAAAAAATCAATTGTTACTGATCGTAATAAATTACTTCGAAAAAATCGTAATGATGAATTTCGACCAATTATGATTAATCAATTTTTTTTATCAGCTATGAATAATGATAATATTTTATTAAGTGAACTTTATGATAAAATGAATATATCATCAACAATAAATGAAAATAAAAAACATCCTAAACAAGAACAAAATGATATATTATCACCACATCTTAATTCAAATGATTTTATTTGTGATTCATTATCTATTGATACAACAAATTCATCTATATTATCAAGTATGTTAAAAACAAAAGATGATATTTATTCCTTCGAGTAAAATTTTTTTTCTTCAAATCATGCAGATAAATTTTAAATTTGTATCATTTCACATGGAAAAGCAATAGTATTTGTAGAATTCTGTGAGTTATTAGAAATTCCTTTTGTTTTTAATCGACAGAATAGAAAGAACAAAATAAAAAAACTGAACAATGATTTTGCTTCAGAATTCAAGTATTTATTAAAAAGTAAGTTATTCTACGCTAGATGGGATAATGGTTTTAATCATTTCTAATCAAGGCATGTTAATTAGGTTGTTAAAACTATATATTTTATATATACAGTGATGTTAAAAATTGATTATGCACAATCAAGAGATGATTTTGTTTGTCTAAAATTTTAAGAAAGGTTCAACATATTGAAATTACAGTTTTGCATCCAATTCCGACTGAGTCAAAATTACGTCACTAAAAGACTCAAGTATTTTTTTTTTACAAAGAAAAAACATCTGAGAGACATTCTTATTAACAAGTAGTACAAAAAGAAGGATAGATATTAGTCAAAACAAAACAAAAAATTTCGAAGTCGGAATGATAATCTTCGATGTCAAAAAGTTTAACTTCGCAGGATATGCAGTTAAAATTCATGTTTCAAAATTTATTTGAGCAACGCATCACCTCTTTCCATTGTAAACCGGCTGTACTAGATAAAAAAACACATTAAAATCTCTCAAATATGAGCAACTCCATATGCTAAATAGTGAACGTTTTTTTCCCATTCCCACGAGCAATAACAAATTGTGTAATGTGAACATCATATATTCTATCATTCAAGTATAGAACAAGAGAAAATGAAATTATACATATCGTGTTAGGATAAATAACCATGAGTACATAGGAAAAAGGAATGGACTAGGCGTGAATATTTAAAATAAAAAAACCAACATCAAACAATAGCAACAGTGGATTAAACAAATTGAATCAATAAATTATTGGAAAGAAGAAAAAGATTAACTTGTGCAACTGAATACTCATTGGTTGCAAAAAAAGAAACTAAAAATCTCTCAATAATGAGGAGCACACTTGACCAGACTCGATAGTGTTCAAATCACAGAGGTTCTACTGTATTAAAAATAATGTCCTTTGATTTGTCTCAAAAAATTTCACGTATACTGAACAATATAAAAATATATTCATCTAACGATTTTCGAAAGAAGAAAAGCATTTTGTAGAGTATTTCGACGAAAAACTTATTTTTTTTTCTAAAACTCGTACTTCAATATGTTGAAGTTTTTGTAAGATTTTAGAAAAACAAAGTCATCTCTCAGATGTATTATTAATTTTGAACGTCACTATATATATATATATACTATTAGTCTATGAAATTAAATATTCGATTTATTACAATACAAAATATTTTCTTACCACATACTAATCTATTCGAAATTTTCATATGATCTTATGATAAAAGTTAACATTAAGTTTATATATATTTTGAAGCATGAATAATTTTCTTTCTCTAGACGATAATGATATTTCATCAGCAGATTTAAATACAACAACAACATCTAGTCAATTATTAACTCCAACTAGTCTTATATCATCAGCATCATCTGCAATAAATCTTTCGAGTACGCCAATACGATCACGTACAAATAGTATAACAAGTAATTCAAGTATTCTAACGAATGCTGTTAATCTACTTACGGATACACCAAATGAATATTCATATCTTGATACAACAAAAGTTAATGCATTTATTAATGAAATAAATAATAATAATAATACGAAATTTGATGATATTATTATATCATCATCAAAATTAATACGTAAACGACGTTTAAGTATTGAATATCCATTTCCATTTCTTGTTGAACAAGCTAAAAAACAACGTATGACACCAAAAAAATTACGTGAACAATTATTAAAACATAATTTATTATTACGACCACCATCACCTGAATATGAATTTTTACCATTTGATAATACAAATGATTTAATAAATAATTTCAATGATTTTATTCTACCAAATTCATCAAATAATGATTTAAATATATCAAATTCATTATTAATATTAAAACGACAACGTGCAATTGATTTTCGTCATTTACAAACAAATATGAAACAAATTATGTTTAAACATTTTGAAAAAGATAAAAATATATTTTTTAGTGAAATTTATTCAAATATACATCAAAATGATAATCAACAAATATCATCATCTGATATTGGTATTTGTTTTGCTGCTTTACTTAATAATTCTGTACGATATCAATTTATGCTTGAATCAAATGATATACGAGATGATATTCGTATTTCATCTCCTATATTTCATAACAATAAACACTAATTAGAAATGTATTATTTTTCTTTAGTAATTTGTATATAGATCTGTATATAGAAATTTAAATAAAAAACAAAAAAAATCTTTTGCTTCTTTTGTATTTTAATTATAGGTTTTTTTTTCTTCAATAAAACTTTGACATAGGCAAAAAATAAATATCATCAAGTTTCAATTAAAAAATAACTTAATTAATATGAGAATATTTGATATTCTATCAAAGACAAACTACTTGCGATTCATATTCTTGATATAAAAAAATATATAAAGCTTATGATTAGAACAAATTTATGTACAGTAATGGACAAAAAGTCTTCTCCGCCTCCCGTCGATCTCGATCTTTATTAATTAATTACAAAGAGAGTTATGATGGAGAGCACTTTTTTTTTGCTTTGAGCATTAAAACCCTAAACAGAACTGTCTTCAAAGTTTTACGTTGTTTCTTACTAAAAAAAACTTTACATGTAGATGAAATCCTGTCTACAGTCTTTCTTCATCTAAAACATAAGTTCATTCGCTCAAATACTGATGTTTCTGATCCTTGGAATTAAGATTTGTAAGCAAGAATGTCTAACTGTAGAGGAAACTGCTTAAAAAATTTGAACTTGTTTCATGAAACTATCATTGAGTTATTGATTTCCAAAGAGTACTAGATGATTTCTCTTAACCACAATGAGCATAGACTTCGAAATCTTGATGAAGTGTGTGTATAGAAATTTTCAGACCTCTAACACATACAGGGTGTTCCAAAAGTAAGGAAATAAAGTTTTTTCCAATTTTCTTTCTTATAGAGCGTCAACTAGTTCTCATATTTATACCACAGATACTAGAAGATATAAGTGAAAGATCTAGCATATGAACAATATCTGAATGTAGTAATTTGTTCAAAAGCATACAAACATAGTATTATCGAAGAAATGGAAACATGCTTGTCAGTTATACTTTCCACTGTCGTAGCATATACTACGTTGTCTTTGGTAGTATTTATATATATACTAGTGGTGACGTCTGCAGTAAACAATACGAATGGTCATATCTTTTATCAGATGATTCATATTTTGTTCTCTATTTAGTATCTGTTTCTTTTCTCGCAGTTCTAACTGCGTTTTTCATATTTTTTTAATCATGAGTGAAAGTTCTCATTTGTCGACATCTGAAAGGATTGAAATTGTAAAATGGTATGCTATGTACCAGAATGGAGGGGAAGTTGCTCGTCAGTTTCAACAATGTTATGATCGAACTCCTGCAACACGAAAGAATATTTTGAATCGCGTACGAAAATTTGATGAAACCGGAAGTGTTGAAGATGAACCCAGATCTGTCAGTACCGATGAAAATAAAGAACGTCTTCGTGCAGCTTTTGAAGAAAGTCCTGCAACATCATTAAGAAGAGCTTCATTGGATTTAAGTCTGTTTAAAAGCAGTCTTCAACGAATAACGAAGGAGCTGGGATTGAAGCCTTATCGTCTTTAATTACTGCATGCTCTGAACGAAGATGATCCCGAGAGACGTTGCGAATTTGCTGATATCTTTCTGAAATTCGTCGTTAAAGACTCTTCGTTCCCTGATCGAATTGTGTGGACCGATGAAGCTACTTTCAAGTTGAATGAACACGTCAATCGACATAACTGCGTTTACTATGCTACAGAAAACCCTCATATCGTCATTACTCAGGAGATTAATGCCCCAGGCATTATTGTATGGGCCGGAATTTGGTCTGGAGGCCTTATTGGACCGTTCTTCTTTCGTGATACAGTTACTGGACGCAGCTGTCTGGAAACGCTTGATGTAAAAATTGTACCTGCGATTGAAAATCAGATGAATTTAGAAGAAATATTTTATATGTACGATGGAGCTCCAGCTCATTATCAACAATTCATTCGACGCTTCTTGGACAAAGCCTTCCCCGATCGATGGATTGGTCGACTTGGACCGATAGACTGGCCAGCACGATCACCGGATTTGACACCGACCGATTTCTTTTTATGCGGTGTGATAAAAGACCGTGTGTATGCAACAAAATCCCAAAATCTTCAAGCGCTCAAAGATGCTATTATTACAGAGGTGGGAAGATTACCAATGGAATTATGCCAAAAGGCTTGTCAATTAGTATCTGAGAGACTGTAACTTTGCAAAGACCTAGAAAGTGAACATATTGAGCAATTTTTGTGAAAATCTTCTTACTGCACAGACTTAACAAAGACATACTTTGCTATGTGTAATTTTTCTGTTCTGTTGCTTTCATAAAAGTTTTGCTAAAACTCACGCATGTTACCTTATTATTGATTATCCTATATTTGTATGCTTTTGAGCAAATTACTACATTCAGATATTGTTCATGTGCTAAATCTTTCACTTATGTCATCTAGTATCTGTGGTATAAATATGAGAATTAACTGACGCTCTATAAGAAAAAAAATCGAAAAAAAACTTTGTTTCCTTACGTTTGGGACACTCTGTATATAGTTAGTGTAAGGGTAGATACTTTAAAAATTTAATAGGAAGATACAAATACGTTGATTGAAAAATTTTAAGAAAAAAAATTCCAGTTCGATAGAATTCTAATTCAAATATTTATAATTAACCCGAGAAAAAAAAGAAAACTTTTTGCAATTCAGCAATAGAAAAATATTGTAATATTGACGTTTTTTTTTTAAATTCTATATGGAAGATACAGATTCCTTAATGAAAAACAAACTAAACAAAAAGTTAAAAAGAATAATAAATTTGTATATTATTTAACTTGAAAGTTGCTAAGTGCGTTAAACATTTTATTTTCATCCTTCAAGTACATATATATTTTCCTAAAGAAACTTAAAGAAAAAATTCAAAATGAATTTCAGTCAATATATTTATTTTTACTAGTATCTTCTAGATTTTACACGTCAAATGAAAACATATTAATCTCTTTTATAAATTCTATTGATTGATGATATGAAATTTTCATTTAGTATTTTATCACATCTTACTTGTAATAAATTATATTTAATACATTCATAACAATAACAAAGATTTATCCAAATATAAAATGGAAATCATTTTGTTAAATGTCGTCATCAATCTATAGATAAACAAGATTAATTCAATAAGACATAAAATGATGTTTTGATTTACAATGTCTTTTTGTTTTACTTTGATTTAAATGAAAATACACAAATCTTTTGATAAATTTTTTTTATCTAGTTATCTTTGACTTTAATTTATTGTTCTTTTGAATATATGCGTGGTTTTATTATTATCAAATAAAAGCGATATCGAGAAATTAAAGATAAGAAATGAATAAGAAAAAAAATCAGAAGTGTTTTTTCTTTTCTTTTATTACTTTGCTCTAGATTTAACAAATATGGCAAGTTCCCAAACAAAGGTTAGAGAATACTTTTATTCAAAAAAAAAAAATATATTTATTTTATACATTAGCCAATTTTGTATTCCTATTATCGCAGTTCATGCGCGTATCGGGTTCGAATTGGTGAGTCTATTTCGAAAAACAAAATCAACCAAAATAAAATACTTATTTGTTCTTTTTTTTCGATTAGCATTGAATTTGAAAAATATTCCCTATATAATTCATCCAGTTAATCTTGCCAAAGGTGAATCAGTATGTAATTGTTGATTTTTTGTTTTTGACAAAAAAATTATCTTATTAAAATTATGCTTTGTAGTTGACGGATGAACATAAAAAGCTCAATCCAAAATGTGAAGTACCAGTAAGTAAATATATTAATTTCTTTCAAGATGTAGTTTATGAGAAAATCTCTTGAATTGTTCATTTAGGTACTTATTATTGATGGAAAAAAACTTCTACAATCAGTATGTCGACCTAAATAAAACTGTAATAGAGTTTCTATGTATGCCTTTGTTTTTTTTTGTTATTCAGATTCCTATCATTGAATATATTGATGAAACACATCAGTTTAAACCTCGACTTTTGCCAGAAGATCCTTATCGACGTTATCAGGTTATAAAGAACGAAATGAGATGAGAAAGAAAAAATAGACTTTTCAATATGATTATTTAAACTTTTCTTTGATTCAGGCTCGTTTGATTGCTGAAATTATTGCATCTGGTATTCAGGTAATTTTTTTTATTTTTTTATTCATTATGTTTTGATTTTTTCTTTTTTAATATAAAGCCATTACAAAATCTAACCGTTCTTAAACGTGTTGGAGAAGAAAAAAAAACTGAATGGGCACATGATTTTATTAAAGTAGGACTCAATGGTAAAGGAATTAATTAATTAATTAATATTCAAATATAATTTAACTTTTATCTAGCGGTAGAAAAATCTCTTGAAGAATCAGCAGGAAAATATTGTGTAGGTGATGAACTTTCAATAGCTGATTGTTGTCTTGTACCTCAACTTTATAATGCACGACGGTATATAATTAAATATATTCATTTCTTAGTTATCTATTCATCTTTATGATTATTTTCTATTTAGATTTAATGTTGATTTAACTGCATATCCTACAATGACAGCCATTGAAGCAAAATTAAATTTACTTCCTGCATTCAAAGAAGCACATCCAAATCGTCAACCTGATTATCCTGAAGAATAAAAATTAAAATCTTAATTTAATATTCTTTTATTGAATGATAACATCTTTTTTTTTCTTGATTTTTATTATTATTCATAATTTTAAACAAGCACATTAAAAAAAAATAGCTGATAGAAATTATATTATATTTGAAAAAAAAGAAACATGTAAATATTTTCATCATAGAAATATATTTATTCATCAATAGCTCAATCTGTACACTATCAAATATTTTTTTTTTGAAAAAACAAAGAGGAAAAACAATACAATATATAGTAGAGATGGAATCGGTTCAATTCGGCTTGATTCTAAAAAAATAAAAAACACGAACCAATCTCATGTCTGATTTATGACGCAAGAACTTGATTATTAAAGAGTGAAGATAAGGAGAGTAATGATGACCAATATATCATTGGTAACAATCTTATTAAAAGAATGTGTGCAGAAAATGAACGAACAATGCCTGGTTTTTTTTCAATAAAGATTTATCTGATTGAGTGTCATTAGAAAAATATATGATATCGTTAATAGTTTAACCCTTTGAGTACCGGTGACGCGAATTTGCGTCCCGATAGTTTAGGGTCTGAAGAACTTTAGAAAACATGATCGTTTGATTATTTTATGATATGAATTACATGAATATTTGCGTTTAGGATATTTGTACGGTTAAGACTATCTGTACCTAGTGATGAATATTGGTTGTTCCCTAATATTTCTATTGACCACTATGTGATTCAATGAATTAGAACATAAGTCATTGGACAACATTTCCCAAGAAAGAATAATCGTTATCAACAAGATTTTTCATATTAACACAGTCATTCAAGAGTGTTATCTATAGTAAAGGTTCTGATCAATTGATCATATTTGATTACATTTTCCTTCGCGCATTGAATCAACAGAAACTCAACTAAATCCAAGAAGAAAATGTTAAGTTTGTGCTAACACTGTGAGAACAGCCAGATCAAGAAGAGATACTTCGTATGAATGCATTGAATGTGATGTACGATTGTGTCTTATGGATTGTTTTAAAGACTATCACACTCTACAAGTATTTTAATTCATGTACTTTGTGATATTTTTTGCGAAATAAATGTTAATTTGAAATTATAAAAACAATCCGGTACTCAAAGGGTTAATGGACTTTTAGAGTTGAAAAACGTAAATCAAAGATAAGTTAAGAGTGATGACGCAGCAGTATTCGATCACAGCTGGAGTGTTTCTATATTAACTGCGTCAGAAGAACCAGAGATATTGCACAAAATAGAAAAAACGTTAGCAGAGAAAATACCGATTGTAGTCATGACGACTGAAATAGGTTTTTCTTTATATTGTAATTAAAGACTGTCTTCAACTCTCCATTCTCATATCAAAACAAAAACAAGATATTGCCTATATTGAAATGGAGATTTCATGTATTTATTCATACATGACAAGCATATATATATATATATATACCTAGAATTCAAAAATAAAAATAATCTTATCTCGATGGATTAGTATTCTTGTCTTATTTTATTTCAAACACAAAATGAACTGGATATTAAATTATTATGAACTTTACACTTGAAGATTTTAACCAATCAAAATAAATCGAAAATATTTGTTTTCACCAAGAAAAAGTGCTCGTATATTATTGATAAAGTGTGTCACAATATTTTCAAGTGACTTGTACCTCGTGTCATATTGATTTTGCTTTCTACTTATTATGCTTATGCCGTTGTACTTTGAAAAGTCACATGCATCGATTGTCTTTATTCACATCATATACTAACTGATAAGGTATATATACAATGCAGCAAACGAAGAAGAGGAAGAAGAAGAAAGAAGAGAGAGAAAAAATACAACTTATATAAACGGACATTTTTTTTTCGTATTCAGTTCTTTGATTCAAACCTAAACTTATTTTGAGCATAGATACATTTCTTTTCTATTTGTTGTTGCTAAAGGTATTATTCAACAGAAAGAAAATCGAAACAATGCCAGAAACCAGTGACTGTCAACTTTCGACTAGTGAAGATGAAATTGGTAAACAACAGCGGTCAAATAGTTCATGTAAAAGAGAAAAACATATTATAAAATAAAATTTCTGTTTTTTTTTTTTATTCTATAATTTATTTTCTAGCATCCGAAAATCGTGCAACAATGGTTACATATTGGAAACGTAATTCAAATCCAAATCTTCAAAGTATGATGCTTGATACAAATGCTGATAAAATTAATCAATTTGAATATCCTGAAATACTTGAATGTTTACCTGATCTTGATGGTAAACGTGTACTTGAATTAGGAGCTGGTATTGGGTTTGTATCTAAACTAGACATTAAAAAAAGTCTTGATCTTGTTTTCTTTTTTTCTTAATTATTCTTTAGACGTTTTACAAAACGATTTGCTCAATTAGCTAAATCTGTTGTTGCTGTTGATTTTATGGAAAGTTTTTTGGAAAAAAATAGAGCAGAAAATAGTCATTATGGTACAGTAGAATTTCTACATCAAGATGCAACACAATTATCATTTGAACCAAATAGGTATTTATGATAATAAACAAGAAATAATTTATTATTTTGTTTTTTTACTTTTTATTTTAGTTTTGATATTATCTTTAGCAATTGGCTTTTTATGTATCTTTCGGACGAAGAAACTGGACAACTTTTACAAAAAAGTCTTTCATGGCTTACACCAGGCGGAACAATGTTTTTTCGTGAATCATGCTTTCATTCTTCAGGTTTATTAGATTTTATATTCAAATTTATAGTATTATCATATTGAATAGTTTGACGATAATATATGTGTGTATCTTGTGTTATTTCTGACATTGTTCGACTAACGGCTGAGCTCCTATAGAAATCTTTACGCTCCCTAGGATTGAGTGTTTTATCTCGCGTGGAGGCTCAGAAGACAGCACTCCTCCGAAGTTTGTGGTTCTTCTTCCATGTATTTTGTATCCGTGCTTTCAAAAATAGGTATTCGCTCTTCTGAAAGAGAAAATCTAGACGGAAGGATATACTACTTGTCAGCTCTAGGCGGAGGCTCAGCTCTTCCCCTCGCCAGAATTGTTTGTAGGTTCTGCAATATGTTTGAATTTAATTTAGCCGCTATGACTGAGTGGTTAAGCTGCTCGACACGTACCACTAAGGTTACTGTGTTCGAACCTCGGCGTCATCAAACAGAGAGTGACTTTGGACAAGTCACTAATGATTGTTTGTCTCGGATCATCTGTCCGTTAGCATACTGACTACGTTGTGACGTACACCGGTCCTCGTGACTATTGTCCATTTCACTGTGATCTAGATGAAATTTTGATTTTGACCTTTGATTTTGATAGAGAGACTTCAAATCTATAGTTCAAGATACAATACAAATCGATTCTCTTATTACATTCTAAAGTTAAGCAAATTGGATCATGTATTTACATGCGCAAATAATAGGGATTTTTGCTAATTTTTTCCTAAGTTTTCTCACTTTTTATCATAATAAATTGACATTTCGATGGAAATGTAATGAAAGATAAGGAAGCGCATTATATCTTGAACTATAGATTTGAAGTCTCTCTATCTAAATCAAAGGACAAAATCAAAATTGTATCTGGATGGCAAATCGATTTTCATGCCTTCTTTTACATGTTTTTCAAAAATAATTAGTTTTTAAAGGATTTTCTCTTATACATTATTGGAGAAAAAGACATTCCTCCGGTCTTCTCTTTTGATTGGTGAAAAGCACGGGTCTCTAATTACTTGCGTTCTCAAGTTATTCAAAAAACAGTGGAGAACATTCTATTTTGAAATTGACAATAGTATGTGATTAGTCAACGTATACGGAGAGCTCTGAGTCAGGCCAGCCTTCTGTCCAGAGCTACAGCTAGTGATAGTTGTAGGAAAAATATCAGGCTTTCGAAATTGTCTCCGGACAACATCCTATACCGCAAGGTAGCTGAAAAGCGGAAAATTCTTTTTCTTCTTCTTGAATTTAATTTTCCTTTTTATTTTTATAGGTAATATCAAATCTGGTGAAAATCCAACATATTATCGTTCACCACGACAATATATTGATATATGTCATTCACGTATATTAAATGGTACACCTGAACATCCACATGATCAAATTTATGAACTTATTTTTGCTAAAGCATTGGAATCATATTATGAAATAAAACAGAATAATAATCAAGTAAAACAGAAGAATTAAAAAAGAAAAAAACAAAAGAAATATTGATTTATTTATTTAGGTTTGTTTTCTATTTTTAAAAACAAATTTACAAAATCTTCATGGTTATAAAACATTACAAGATTTTCTTGATCATTCTGAATATGCTCTTAAAAGTATACAAAAATATGAATCTGTACGTGGAGAAGGTTATGTTACTATTGGTGGTGCTGAATTAACACAAGTACTTATAAAACGACTTAATTTAACATCATCACAACGTTTATTAAATTTTGGCAGTGCAACAGGCGGAAGTTCATTTCAAATTTCTCAAGTTTGTAATTCAAAAGAAAAGAAAATTATTTTTTTCTTTGTAATCTCATAGGATTATGGTTGTGAAATTGTTGGTGTAGATATTTCAGCTAATATGATCGGCATTGGTACTAAGTAAAATAAAAATATCTATTTGATTTTAAAAGTTATTCATATGATTTAATTTTAGCATGGGATCGAGCATTATCATATAAAGGACATCGAATTCGTTTTGAAGTTGGTGATGGTACAAAAATGCGATTTTCACCATCAAAATTTGATGCTATTTATAGGTAATAAAAACAAAAATCTTTCTTTTTTTTTTTTCTTCTTCCTAGAAAACAATTTTAAATATTGTTTTTTTTTTCTTTTTAAGTCGTGATGTCATGTTTCATGTTTCGGATAAGACAACATTACTTAATAATTTTTATACATGGCTTAAACATGGTGGTCGTTTATTGATTACTGATTTTTGTTGTGGTAATACACCATTTTCACAAGATCTTATTGATTATGTACGTTCTGGCATGTATACTATGCCATCGATCCAGGAATATGCAGAAGTA